TCCACCTGGAATTCTTGAATGATATCATGAATGAGTAGGGTTGCATTACATGCTTTTGAATCTTTGTCACTGGTGTTAGTATGTTATTTTGTAAACTTAATCAGATGCAATAGCTGTTATCGAGCTCTGATTGGTCTAACCTGGAGTTATGTACAACCTTAATGCAACTAATCCAAATTTCTGTTATCTTTCCTTTCCCTCAACTACATAGATGTGTGCAACAATTGTCCTCAACAATGTGGTTAACAAGCGGCAAGTGGATGTCTAGGTCCTCAAGAAATGAAGGATATGGTTTAAAAACTTGTTAAAAATACAATGGTAAACATATATATAATGGGAAAGGTCAATTGAATTGGAAGACTACTGGGAGCTATCCAAAAAAATTTGTGCAACCAAGCAGGCATTTGATTTGAATGGGTTAACTTGCTTAAAAAGAGATTTTGAACCTGTAATAAATAAGATGTATTGATTGCAGATAATGCTGTTGGTCCTTTAGAAACAGCTTCAGGTGCTTTGTTGTTGTATTAAACATGTTCAAGACTTCTTTATTAATGTCAAATTCTCTGTGAAACTGATTGTATGAGAAAATGGGATGCACTTTTCTGTATCAATCAGTAAAAATGAAAAGGAAGAATGATAGGATTGTTTTCTTGATTTTATAGATGACTTAAGTTTTGTATCAGTAATTGGAAATAGAGGTTTTTCTTTAGGTACAGTAATAATTGACCATAAACCCTTGTTCTTCATTTTATTTGATATTTTTCAATTTTGTTGTCATTGCTTTGCCTTCTGTATAATGCTTACATTGCTTTATATTTGCTTATGCTTGTAGGGGACAGGAGATCTAGTGACTGCACTCCTACTTGGATGGAGTAATGTAATGCCTCTTTAATGTTTGAAGTTTAGTTCAGTCTCTGGCAAGCCAATCAATGATGTCTATTTTTTTTATTATATATTCACTTTGTGCTCTCCAGAAATATCCTGATAACCTCGACAAGGCAGCAGAGCTTGCAGTATCAACTTTGCAGGTATTACTTTTGCTTATGCTGCAATAGTATCTTTTAGACTTGGACTATATGGATCTTTGACATCGTTATCTGAAATATCAGACTCATTTATGGAATTATATGAGAAGAGTATATACAATGGTAGCTAGAAATATACTTGATATTCTATTTGCAGCCTCAGGGGTTTGAGTTAAGTGGCTATCATGAAAAGCATGCTGCAGAGCGCTAAGCTACTATTAACCCAAAGTTTAGAGGTTTGGTGGTGAAAGCTTACTTCTGAACCAAGAGGTCAAGGTTTGAAATCCCCTTGGGGTGTATTGGGAATATTATATTCCATAAGCTTCTTTGTTACTTAGCCGTAGGATCTGAAGTGGTTCCCAGTTTAGAATCCAATGAGCATGTAGGGAAAGTCGAAGGGATTTTGGGTATCAAAGAAAGAAAAAATTTGCATGTTAATTTTAATGAATCCTGAAGTGTAGCTGTGTTTTGGAATATTTAAGCTACACTATCCCTTTCAAGGAAGTCTACACCCTGGACTGGCCATTGGAAAAAATTGGAAGGTGAGAATGATTGAAACGATGGTACTGGTAGAAGATCAACTTCAAGCAGAGAAGGTTTGAGGAGACAAGAATGAGTACTGCTCTGATTGAAACGATGGTACTGGTAGAAGACAACTTCAAGCAGAGAAGGTTTGAGGAGACAAGAATGAGTACTGCTCATCTTTTAAATTAGTGAAAATATAGAGGTCAACCCATTGTCTATATTTGAATGAGTACTGCTCATCTTTTAAATTGGTGAAAATCACTGGAAGAATAATTTTCAAACCCCACAGTGCTTCAGGGCTGAGATAACGTCATGTCTGCCAACTTAAGGATATGAAGGTTGTTGAGGAAAGTTGTAAATAGTGGTTATGTTTACAGTATAATTTTTTGGTTGTTTGGTGATGAATATGGGACAAAGTCCTTTTCATCTTTCCCTCGCGGTACTTATTTGCTATCGGTCTTTTATTCGTATTTAGCCTCGGACTAAATTTACCGTCCGATTTGTGCTGCATTCCCAAACAACCCTACTTGCAGACAGTGCATCGTGGTGCAACAGGGTCCAGGCGCAACGGGGCTCTCACCCTATTCGGCGCCCCTTTCTAGGGGACTTAGGCCTGGTCCATCGCTGAGGACGTGTCCAAACTACAATTCGGACGTGTCCAAACTACAATTCGGACGCAGAGTAATTCTAGCTTGGGATGGATCTATTGTTTTTTCTTAATGAAGACAATGTAGAGAATTCATGCATTTCATTCATAATGGGCTTATAGAATCATTGCATAATATATAAGTCCGACTCTGTTATCATACTGTCTCAGGGCTGATTGCATTTGCATATTCGGCTCTTTTACTCTTTTAACTGATTGTAAAACCTTTTCCAATACCTACAGGCACTTCTGCAAAGGACAGTGAATGACTATTTGAGCACGGGATTTGATCCCCAAACAAGTAGTTTGGAGATCCGATTAATTCAAAGCCAGGACGACATTCGCAATCCACAAGTGAAATTCAAAGCTGAAAAATACAACTGAAGGGTGATATTTATTTAAAAAACAGTGATAATAACTATAGATGTCCTTCTATAATTTAATCTTAACACGGTTAATCAAACATAAATGCTGTTATATTTTGTTGTTTTCACATAAATTATTGATATTTTATGAATAATTATGATAATGTAGCACCAAAGTGAAGTAACACATTGGCTTCACTGGGACCACAGGATAAAATGAATTTCCGTTTTGAAACTAGTCAGTAGTTGTACGTAAGACCATTCTTTTTTCCTCAATTGTCATTCTGAATAGGGTTGCCAGATATAACTATGCTTCTCAGTTCTCCCTCGCTTTAGTGAGGTTTTTAATTCAAGGATTATTAAGATCAGCTCTAATCAGGAAAAATATGTGCTCGATTTTGTAACGTTTTCTGAAACTATTTGTTAAAAAAAAAAAAAAAGACTACTTTGAACTGTCTTTGAACTTTGAAGATCTGTAGCGTTGTCGAGAATTTATCAAGTAAAAGACTAAATTATTTATTGTTGAAATGATAAGGGCCGGTTTAATATGGAATTCAAATACAATTAGTTTGTTTTTGAAGACAAGGGATACAACAAACTTTATAAAAATGTGTTTGGTATTAATAAGTCAAGTTATTTTCAAAAACAGTTTCTAAATACAATTTCAAGAAGTAGTGTAAAATTAAAAAAACAATTAAAGTTGTTTTTTAAATTTTATATCAGACATATTTTCAAATATTAAAAGTATTGAGATATAACTTAAAAATTTGAATTATACTTTAGTTTTGACAATTAATTATTATTATCATTTTCTTCGCCACATTTAAGGAGTATGTAACATGTGTGTAAATATTTATTCAAATGAAACATGTTTAATGATGTTAAACCTAGAGCTGGGCATTTGGGACCGGGCCCAAAAGCCCAGCTCCAAAAACCGATCCTAGGAACGGTCCTTAGGAGGAGGGCCCGGGCCCTCCACTGGGCCCTCCTCTAAGCCCGGGCCCAAAAAAATTTGTATATTTTCAATGTGGTCCCCTGCCAAATTACATAAAGCCCTCTGTTAATTTTAAATAGATATAAATTACGAGGGTTCAAATGAAAATTTACAAAATTTATTAAAAAAAAAATCTTCCAGGTCTAAAAAATTTATAAATTTTACCCCTAAAAAATATAAAAACCCCCTATAAAATTTTGTTTTACCCCCAAAATATAAAAAAAAAATTAAAGGGGGAAAATGAAATTATCTAAGGCCCATGGGACTGGTCCTAGGACCGGTCCTGGGCCCATGGGACCAGTCCCGACCAGGCCTAAGGCCTGGTCCGGGTCTTGGTTTTTCTCATGGGCCTGGCACCGGTCCTAGGCCCATGAGTGACTGGTCCCATTTGGGACCAGTCCCAAATGGGCCCAGGCCTGGGCCCGCAAGGGACCGATCCCTTGCCCAGCTCTAGTTAAACCTTCTTAACATATCATCTTTTTTTTTTTTTTTTGGTGAGTAAATATTTATTAGAAAAGAGAGAATTTATAAAATGCTATATAAAAATTGGTCAACCTACCATAGGACAAGCCTTAAGATGGGCACAAAAAGAATCAAGTAGTCACTAAGTCTACTAACTAATTGCTAATTTAAGCAACTAATCACAAAAGCTAAACAAAACAACTCAAAACAAAAACAAGGAATGCACACCTCAGCCGAGGCTGTCCAACAACTTTCACTCCTCGTTTTGCAATTTTTATAAGCAAAAGATGAAGAATAAGAGGAGACCGACTAACTCTAAATCAAACACAACTCAATACCAAAAGAAAGGCAACCACCCAACCTCAAGACGGTTCCACGGGGGAACACAAAGCATCGAAAAGGAGCAAGCTACACAAAGCCAAGGGTCAAAACAATCCTACCTCAGGACATACCCTGGATTAGAAACAATGCTAGCAAAAAATATATAAAGGAAAAGACATGAAAATACAAAGAACTCAACCCAAAACTTCTCATCTTCATTCATTCAAGGATTATGGCTGAACCGGGGAAGCGTCACTCAACAAGAGCGGGATCAAAGGAAGAGGACTTGAAAACAGTCCTAGGAAGACCCCAAGAGTCCGCCAATCTTCTGTTACTAAAGGAAGCCTTGAAGTTTTTAAGATCCATAGATCACAATCACATTGACTTCTTATTACAACTTTAAATTAAAATATATTATTATTTGTATTCCACATGATAAAATTATTTTTTTTCAAGTGTTTGTGTTTGTGTTTGAGTTTTTTTTTTTTTTTTTGTTTTTTAATTTTTATAAAATAGTGAAGGCAAGTTTCAAATGTGGTTAAATTTCATTTGTCACATAACACATAATTTAAAAGCCATGGGGAGTAGATTAAGTATCCAAAATTTAGGGAGGTCTTGTAAATCAGATAAATACCTTAAACAGTAGTGGACTAAAGAGGGCTCTGGATTCAACCTCCACATAATCAACTTCCAGCGAACTCTAAAAAGAAAACAAAACAGAACGAAGCTCTTTATCTCCCAAGTGCAAGGCCATGGACCCGGAAGCCGCATTAGAGCTGGTAAAAAACGGAGTAACGCTTCTCCTTCTTGATGTTCCTCAGTACACGCTTGTCGGCATTGATACCCAGGTTTTTTTCTTTTTACTTCCCACTTCCCACTTTCAACTATTTCTCTTTCTCTTTTCTTTCCTAGTTAAGTAAACCCAAATATCACCTTAAATTATTTTGCAGGTGTTCTCTGTGGGGCCTGCTTTCAAGGGCATCAAAATGATTCCTCCTGGAGTTCATTTCGTCTTCTATAGTTCATCCACCAGGTTATTTATTATTTGTATTGCTATTAAGAATCTTGAAAATCTGGATAGTAAGGATAGAATGAGGTTACACTGTTCTCTCTCTCTCTTTTTTTTTTTTTTTTTTTGTTTTACAAATCATGTTATGTATTTTACTTCAACTTTTCATAGTTCATTTATAAGTTATTAACAAATAGAATTTGGAAGAATAATAAAAGTACAAACTAGGTGGTAATAAATGAATGGAAGATTGAACATAAAAATCAACGCAATAAATACTTGATCAATGAGGATGAATGTCATTGCCATAGAAGATCAATGCAATATTAATTTTTTTGCGTAGCATTACTCATTGTGAAATGATATAATGTATTTTGGCTAATCTTGGCATGACCGATTAAACGGTAAATTGATATTTTTTTGGCATGAGTTTGGCAACATGCTGCGAGAGGCCTTTTGTAATGTTTGAGTTGCTTTGGCCAGAATTCATGTAATGTGCTTATCTAGGGAATTTGATAACTGAGCTTAAATGGTTGCTGTTTGCTTATACTGTTTGGAGATTAAAACTCGTCTTTTATGTAGTTCGTGTACGGCTTTATGGCAGTTTTATCTGAATGTTGGTATCATATGTTTTATTTTCATGCAGAGATGGGAAGGAGTTCTCACCAATTATTGGTTTCTTTGTTGATGCTGGCCCCTCAGAGGTGTGGTTTCAAAATGGTTTCTTCAACTGATTCTTCAGATGAAAATATTCTTAACTCACATATACATAAAAATTCATTATAGTCTGATGATATTATCCATTTGTTATCTTTGGGTGGAGTTCACGCCAGAATGAACTTTTTTATTTCCTCCATATTGTTGCTTATTTAAGAGCTTAAAGAGATGCGACTTGATTTAATATTCCATTAAATGATTACAACAGGTGATTGTTCGTAAGTGGGAACAACAAGAGGAACGCTTGGTCAAAGTTTTGGAAGACGAGGTTCGTACCTCAAATTGTTCAGATGATGCATGCTTATTATATTTGAAATGAGTTGAGCCAAGTATTTTCCACAAGAAAAAACTTATATAAGAGATGCTGTAATCTTGGGATCTAAAGTTTGAGTCCTTTTTAGCTCTCTTCTGCTTGTGGTAACTCCCTATAGATATTTGGTTGACCATTCCTATCGCTAGAGACCACTGTGGATTGAATTTCTTAACTTCAAGCCCTGGAAAACTGTATACGCTTTTGTCTTTCTTGATGCGGTGGCACAGAGCTTTACTGTGCTGTGGCCAAGGGGCGAACCTTCAATTGTTAAAAAATCCCTAATGTATTCTATTTTCGAATCAGTAACTTTTGCAACAGCTTTTCAAGAAATTTCATTATTTTTCCCCGTTTATTTTTGTTTATTTTTGCTTTTTCTAAGTGCCTTTTTCAGTTTTGTTTACCAAAGGTTTGGAGTTTATAAGGAAGAAAGAGGTGTAGGGGTCTCAGAAAATATTCTAGTTTAGTAGAGTGACTACAAATAGTTAATTTTTTCGTGGGAGAAATTGCTAAGCTAAGTTGAAATAGGTTTATTCATTGACCCAATGTTTTATAGGTATGCAAGTCTTGAGAGCTACATCCAAGAGTAGGGAAGCATTTCATGCTTACTTCTTTGGATTTGACTGCAGACCTGGGTCAGTCTGTTGATGGACCTGAACCAACCTGGATTAGACTATTAATTCCAAATGTATTTCTCACTCTAGGCTCTGTAATTATTTATCTTGGAATTTTCTGCTCTTGTAGTAGTCCTGTATTTACTTGCATCTTTAGAGTTAGAGATTGAAATCTTAATTTTTTTAATATGTAAATTTAATTTCCTTCTGATTATTGAAACCCTTTTGTAGGAGAAATTTATTCGACCTAAGACTAGCTTGTCAGTTTATATGTCTATTCAAGATATTCTTATCAAAATTTGAAGCCCTAAACTCTAGAGGAATATTTTTGTTTATTAAATACTTATTTGATTTTCTTGATTTGTGTTATAATGTGATATGTTTCTCTCTCTCTCTCTCTCTCTCTTCATATTTTTATCTGTTAACTTTTAGGAAGAGAGATATGTCCAAGCAGTTCGAAGTTTGGAGTTCGACAGGCAGCTTGGTCCTTACAATCTCAGTCAGTATGGAGATTGGAAACGATTATCTAACTACATTACAAAGAGCACTATTGAGCGGCTTGGTATGTTCTATTTAGCTACTTTCATATTCACAATTTAGTTGACAAAGCTATCAGGATTTTCCAGTATTGTTATGTCTGAAGACTTTATGCTTGAACAGTTAGATTTATTCAGTGTCTACTTCATGGTTTTTTTCTATATCAGCTTCTGAACATGCTTCCAACTTCTTTTTTCTGTTGATTCTGGTTTCAGATATTTTATGGGATGCAAATTGTCTTGTGAAACTTTAACAAACTCTAAAAGTTGACATATGTAAACTAAAAAATCTTTGATGCTACATCTGTCAACCTTTCCGGTTAAGTTTTTCTCCATATAGTAAGTAGAATTTAATCTGGAAGGTAACTCTTAATCTCACATGGATCCTTGATAGATGAATGGATGCTGTATCTTATTTTAGCCTGTTTTGGTGGGAAATAAAGATAATGAAAGTATACGAGTTGTCTACTTTGTTTTGGTGATTTTACTTTTCTTTTTTCCTTGTTCTTCTTCTTGGTACTGCTTGATGCTAAATTAAATACTCTATTTTGACTCATTTCCTGGTCCTGTATATAGTAATTACAGAACCGTTTCTTCTTCATTGATCAAGAAGAAAGAACACTCTTTTTGCAGATGGTACTTCTTATGGCTATTTAATCTGAGACACATTAATGGCCTTTAATACTTTCATTGGTTTTTGTTAGGTTCCCTAAAGTTCTACCTATGTTTATCAATATTTCATTGTGTCTATTGAAGTGCCTTATGTAGGGGTTGCATATCACTCACTTCAGCACTTTGAATGTTTGAGATTGCATCTAGTATATATAACAAATGCTCTTTGAAAATGACATATGCTAGGCAACACCAACCATCCAAAGTGCTTTATTGTAATGATCTTAGATGTAAGAAATTATATAAAAAATGCAGTGTCATTGATCTTAACCCGTATATATGTATGTATAATTCAAATAATAATTTTTTGTACATGTTTGAATGCCAATCATGTTTTTGCACCTTTAGTTATGATCTTTTTGTGGTGGTAAGGATCCATATCATCTAATGCCTATTGGTAGCTATAAAGCATTGATTAAACAAGCTCCTCTAGAACTAAGACTTAATTAGTTTGTGTTTCTTCATAGAATAAATGCAGAAATGCCTCTGCTGATAGTTTTATTATGCTTAAAGTTTACTCTTTTTGGTTCATGTAATTTACAGAACCCATTGGAGGAGAAATAACAGTCACATCTGAGTCTGGAATGGTGAAAAACACTCCAAAAACATCAATGGAGAAAGCTCTGGATGAGCAGTTAAGGGCAAGTAAGTTCTCGACTACTGATGACAATTCTCAGAAGAAAGGATGTTACTACACATCAATTCCTCGAGTGATTAAGCTCAGAGGAATGCAAGGGGAAGAACTTACATCTTTGAATCTTGACAAGGCAAGTATCTACATATATATGAATTTTGAAGCATACCGTACGTTGAGAATACTTTTTAATTTTATCTTATTGTTGATTGTTGGATATATATCTATCCAGACACAATTATTAGAGAGCTTACTTATAAAAGAATATGGAGGTTCAGAGGACTCACTTCTTGGGGAGCTGCAGTTTGCTTTTATATCATTTCTGGTATGCACAGGAATAAAATGACATCTTCCCATGTTTAATTTTGTCAGATATTTATTACACCTATTAATCATGCAGATGGGGCAGTCACTTGAAGCCTTTCTGCAGTGGAAGTCTTTGGTTAGCCTTTTATTTGGTTGCACTGAAGCTGTAAGTAGTGTTTGTGCCTTTGGATGTTTGTGTCTTTCTTTCTTTCTTCAAGAAGCTAGTAAGGTTTTGCATGAAAAAATTGTTCATTTCATATGCTTATATATTTATTTGGAATTTCATTGTTGACACTACTTAAAAAATTCTAATTTCTCCTTTTTCTAACTTTATATGGCCATTTTGGAGCTTGATTTAGTTGTTTACAATTTTTTAAAGATATGTTTGCCTCTAAACATTTCTTCTTCTTCTTTTTTTAATATTTATTTATTTATTTATTTTTTTTTTGCAGCCTTTTCATACCAGGAGCCAGCTATTTATAAAGGTAATGTACTGAGTTGTATTAATTACTTGAATGTTTCTTGCAACTTGAATAAGTATGCAAATTGTGGTCATTTGGGTGAAATATTTGTGGAAACTTTAAAGGCAACTAGATCAATCTTTGTTATCTTGACTTCTTCAATCTGAAGGTCTTTTTTAAGTCACAGGCTCAAGTGTTCTTTGATGAGAAGTTGTTCCACTTGTTCAGTAAACAAATGACATCATTGTTGTACCAATTTATTGTTCCTTTTGCTTTTTTATTTCTCGTTTTTTACCCTTTCCTCCAAGTCCAAGAGCAAGCTTCAGTATTTACTCTTTCTACATGTTTAAACTGGCTATATTTTATTCCATTGATAAATTTGGTATATAAACCTCCAGACTTTAATTAATTGAGCTGTTTTTCCTTATGTATTTAACTGTAATTTGGTGTTCATGATTGTTCTTATGGTTATTTAACATGTGATGTACTTATCATAGTTCATTAAAGTCGTATACTATCAACTGAAATATGGACTTCAGAAAGACCGTAGTGGTACAGAGACAGGAACATCAGCACTATTAGATGATTCATGGTTATCTGCTGATAGTTTTCTGCACCATCTTTGCAAGGTAACGATCTTGGATTTTATATTCTGCTGTTTGTTCACCAGTAACCTTTACCATTGATTTAGTAGTTATTCATTGGGTCACTTAGCTTCTTATTCTTCCATTCAGTGAACTTGTTATTTTAATATGTTTTGTTTTCTTAAGCTTGCAAATGAATCTTTTGTATATGGATGTCATATTGATTTTTATTTGAATGAAACTGCAGGATTTCTTCTCGTTGGTACTAGAAGCTTCTGTTGTTGATGGAGATCTTCTATCATGGGTAAGTGCTCTTAGCTTGGCATCCCTGTCAAGATTTATTCTGCCGAAGAAGAAAATAGAGCCTCAGGTGTCCTCTCATACTGCTGTAGCATATTTTCTGAGATCTTGAGAACTCAGATTAATGTGCCTTTCAACATAACTATGGGTGACTGAAAATAAGAAGATTTTATTTTATTTTTTAATGTTGGGTCTTTTATATTTCGTATGTGAAGTTTATGAATTTATAATTTACTTGTCAAATATTTGAGTTGATTACTTGCAGTTTACTGACCTCCGATTATATTGAGGGGAAATCTAAATTCAGTCTTTCCGCCTGTGTAGACGAGGAAATTCAAAGAGCTGCTTGAGAACAGTCTAGGGTGGGAGTTTCAGCAGAGCAGTGCAGTTGATGGAATATACTTTGAGGAAAATGATGAGGTCAATGTCTCATTTTGTAAAATTTTGGCAGATTTCTTATCTTTCTCTGACTCTTATCACACACGCACACATAAACATACAGAGAGAGCCTTACTCATTTTTTGAACATGTGCAGTATGCTCCTGTTGTTGAGATGTTGGATGACTCAAGTTATAATGAAGCTGCTTCAGTTTAGACATCAGCGACAGCATACACTCTTTCCTTATTGCGATGAGAGAAACAGTTGTCGGTGGAAGCGCTTCCAGCTTCTCATTCTCCCTACTCTTAACATCTCATAGGTGATAGCTAGACAGTTGACATGACTTGATGTTGATGATATTTCCTCCTGTAAGTCGGCATGTTAATTTGCCAATGGTAGAGGGAATAGTCCCAAAATGTGAATGTAAATTAATCAGGCTAGCTGAATGTGTCAGTGGTGGATAGGGATAGTCTCAGAGCTTTCACGTTTAAGTAACAAGATAAGCTAAAATCTCTCTCTTGCTGAGGGAGATTGTTGTACAATTTGTTTGTAAATCAATCTTGTGATAATCTTGTTAATGCCACCCTTTCTATGTATATTTTTGTTCCTTTATAAGTTAAGCCACACAATTCTATATGATTTTGACAATAATATTCCCAGCTTTAGTTTTTTTTCCTTGTGAACAGTGCTTTAAAAGCCTGACATATTGAATTGGGTTACAAATTCTGTTATTAATTGAAAAGCTTAGAAATTAAGACATCAATTTGTGAACAATTGAAGGGTGAAATGTTAGGTTTTTTTAAGAGAAATGGTCAGTGAGTACAATTGTGGCAACGACATCGATTTCCGATGAGTGAATCACTCAGAAATCGTAAAACAATGTCAGTGGAAAAAGTCCATTGTTGTCAGTAACTGGGGAGGTGAACGGGAGAGAGGTGAGACGGATTTTGGTTAGGGGGAGCATTTTCATGGTGATGGGAAGTGTTGTTGTTGGAAACAGGTCTTATTTGTTGATGCCGATAGTAACGTTTGGGGTGTTTTTGCAATACTTTAAACCTATAGGGATTTACAAAACTTTTAGGAGTATTTTTCGTTAAATTTCAAATATTTAGACACGGATTTAGGCATGGCAATGTTCCCCAAGATTTCGGGGACCCATCCTGCCTCGCCCCATATGGGGTGGGGAAGCCCCGGTTTTTTTGGGGATAGGGGCGGAGGTGAGGGGTGTTTTAATCCCCGTCCTCGAGGATGGGGCGGGGATGGGTGATGCTTTTCCCCGCCCCGCCCCGCCCCGTATATAATATATAAAATTAAAAAAATATATATATATATATATTTACTTTTCACTAATACCCCTATATTTCACCTAATTACACAATTATCGTACCTATATAAACCTATATTTTCTTAATTTCTCTCACCCTAAACAATTGAACAAGAACAAACCCTGACCTATATTTATGTATAATTAATTATGTTTAAACAATTAATTTAAGTGTTTGTTATATAGACGAGAATTAACTATTATATTTGGTAATGTTCAAATTAATTTATGTTTATATAAAATTAACGGGGCGGGAACGGGCCTCCAACATTCCCCTTTGGGACGGGGAAGGGGAATTCCTGTCATCCCCGTAACGGGGATGGGACGGGAGTGGAGAATGATTTTGAGGGTAAGGATAGGTACGGTAAATGAGATCCCTATCCCGCCCCGGCCCATTGCCTTGCCTACACGGATTTAACCCGTCGGTTGAACCAGTCCACTTGGACGTGGCATTTTACTGGGTTTCACTTCGGATTGAGTTTTAGAACATTGCTGGTGAACAATGATACATTTCTATATGTTAACGTTGAAAGGGAACTGAGATGAGGATTCAGTTTCCTCGTATATCCATGTCTGAAAATAAAGAGGAATAGCGTCATACTGTCACTTGCAATATTCGACATACATTTCAAATGATAATGAGTCAAAGTGTTAAAAATTCTAAATCTTAAAAGAAACTTATTAATTTGGAATTTCTCTGAGTGCCTACGATATTATACTCTCACCAAATGAAAAACGGTGATTCGGTGAAATAAATTAAATTAAAACTAAAAAAGACCCGGGTGTTGGCCTGTTGGGTATGAAATAATGGCGTGGGGGCTCTGTTCCCGCCTTTCTAACTTTCCTTCTCTCTTTGGAAACCATTTCCTCCCAAAACACCCTTTTCATCTCTCATTCAGAATACATACTCTCTCTCATTCAGTTGTTAGCAGGTCCAGGAATCATACCCTTCGCGGTTTTTGCTTTAGTTTTCAAGGTTAGCTTCCACCTTTTTGATATTTCAATTTTTATTCTAGTTACATATTTGCTTCGCTAATCCCAGTTTAATGTTGTTATTTACTTGTCTACTATTGCATATGTAAATGATCCATCGACGGCTATTTGGGTTTCTTAGTAAATGGAAGTGTTAAATAATTGTAGTCCATGTACTTGTAGAAAGTCCTTACTGAATGAATAAACAAGCTCATGTATTTATATTTGTTTAGTCATTTTGAGATTATTATTATAATTAGCTTTCAGCACCGTTTTTCAGTTAGTTTTTATAAGAAGAAAACGGGATTTTGGTGGTTTTCTGATTGTTTATTTATGGTTGGGACGAGACTTTGGAGCAATATCTGCACCTGGTTGTTCTATTCAACCTTATATGATGCCTATGTTAATGTTTTGATCGTTTTGTAGTGTCGCGGTCATATGCTAGTGGTGGACGCAGACGTTATGATCTCTTTGGTGGTGGGAAACCGGGTGATGAGGATTTTAGGAAAGCCTGGAAGAAAGAGATGGATGAAGACGAGTGTCTGTGGACAGGAAGTGAAGATGAAAGTGATTCTGAGAAGGGTAAAGGTCGTCTTGAAAAAGAAATCAGGAAAGTAAGACAGAAGGCGAAGGAGCACTCTGACTTAATCGACGCGGATGACAGTGATGAGTTATATGGTGTTTGGTCTGGAAGTGATGAGGAGAAGAGTCTGTGGACTGGTAGTGAAGGTGATGATGACGACGATATACCAACTGAACCCTATCCCAATGAAGCTAGTGATAAGCATATTGACAAATTGTTTGAGTTCGAGGAGAAACCTAAATACCGAACCATCTCAGAACTTTTGAAAGCTGAAAATGAACCAGAAGAGCTGTCCCCTGGAAAGCAAGCTAGGAAGCTTGCAGTTGAGAATGCCTTGAAAAAATTGAAGAAAGGGCCTGATGGGCGTTATATAAATGTGTGGGAAGTCATGAGTGATATAGATATCCTTATAGGGGCATTTGAAAACGTTGTCTCAGGACCAGAATATGAGGAGCTAAGACAGGGAGGGCCTAAGAAATTGAATATGGAGTTTTTCAAGGATATACAAGCACGTATGAGAGATCCAAATTATAAGTTCTCACCTGAGATAAAATTGAAACCAAAGAGCAAACTGGTTTCAAGAAAGAAATGGCAGAAGGCACAATCAAGACGAAGGAAAGCACAAAAGCGCTAAGTTTTTGTCCTTCATATCAAAAAACAAGTTAGCTTTTCTCTTTCTTCGTTTCTACATAATAAACTAAAACAAGTTACCTGCGTGTGAAGTTTTATACTTCATAGGGTTTTATGTAGGTCTAAGTTCTTATACATTGTCTGTTCCAGTAATATAATCATTTAGGGCAGCTTTATGAGGTAGAGTTTTGTATGTAAATTATTTTAAAGCTTAGAGCTTCATGTTCCAGAAGTGATTACTTTTGGAGTTTCTTCACTCTGTACCATTATCTTTTCATAAAAAAGCGAAGATCCAAGTCTTAAAATAAAAAGTTAAACAAAGGAGGATACAGTATGCACTGTTCATAGAAATGAGACAGTACACAATACTGTTAATGTAGGTTTGAACTTGGCAGGATTTTGCTGGTAATTCTTGGGTGTAGTGTAGAACTATGAGAAATGATTTTTAGAAAAAGGAAAGAAATTGCACTATTAAAAGGTTGCCAAAGTTAAAGCTGTGGACAGAAGGCTGCTTATATCAAGTTAACTCTTGAATATCTTTGAGTGGAATAACTTTTTTTTTGTTGTTGAATTTTCATGTTCTAGACTCATGCTTTTTGCCTACCTTCCATTGTTGTTAGCAATTAAGTTTCCTAGAAAGGAAAATTTATAGAAAACAAATTAACAGGAAGCAGAATTTAGAATCTACACTTTGATTTAATCTAAACAAGATGTCAAGATCTAGTGGAAGACATGTTCTTTCTTTTCATAACGCCAAATTTCTTTTCGACAAAACTACACTTTCCTGCTCAATAGTAAGAGAATGGTGATGAACTGAAGCCAAAATCATTGTAGGGAGGAGCTAAGGAAGATTGATAGTTGATCATTTGGGGTTGAGACGTGTAGTTGGGATTGCCCATCATACTGTTGTCTACATCTATTATCTGTGGAGATGGATGGTTAAAGTAGTAAAGAGTCTGCATATTGTTCATTGGCATGGATGGGGGATGTTCATATTCATAAACTGGCCTTCTTGTTGAAAACTCTTGAAAACCACCAAAGTTATGGTCTCCCAAACCGACAAAGTTTACACCATTGCCACTAAAAGGTGAAGGAGCCATCATGGATCTCATTTGATTTTCCATGGCAAGTCTGTCTTCATAGTTTCTCATATATGTATCATCCACCTTGGCTACTGCCATCTGATTGTGATCAATCCCATCATTCATAGTTTTCATTCCAATATTTTGGTTAAGATAGTTGTCAAGACTCCAGTGATCCTGTGCATCATTGCCTAAGAAAGAGGGATATATTTGTCTAGTTTTGAAGGCATCAAGGCCATTGATAAGGCCCTTTTCATCTCTGCCGAAATTCGGTTGTCCTTGGTTAAGTTTCTGATGGGACTTCGGAGGCCAAAGCTCTGCATGTTTACCAGATCTTACCAACTTCCTGATTAAAGTAGCAGAGTCTACCCTGCCTGAAACTATCACCACATGGTGTTCTGCATCTATGTTGACTGAGTAAACACCTGAACACAAGTCGAAGCAAAAAAGAAAAAGGCATGTATTATGTTGATTCTTATTAAGAAAATCCAAAATAAGTTATTAAGAGCAGAGAGTTTTTCAGTTCAAAGGCAAGCAAATGGTTAAGCTTATCCCTTGCGAAGCTTAGCATTGAATTGTTGATAATAATGACAGCATATTGATAAAACATTAGCGAAAAGCTAAAACAAAAAGAACTACGAACAGAATGGAAAAATGTGACAGTGCCTTCAATTTTCCGGAGAAGTTTCTTCACTTTCTGCTGGCACCCTTGGCAATGCATATGTACTTTAATAACATAAGTCTGTAAAACCAAACCCATCACAGAATAAGCAAATTTGATAACTTCAAATATTTGTATGGAGTAACAAAAGAAACCAAAGCCATTAATGAAAAAAAAAAAAAAAAATGACAGAAGGCATAGACCTGAATCTTAAGGAGATCAATTCCATTTCTTGACATTGTTGTTATATATGTATGTGTAAAAGAAGCTGGCAGAGTTTTGTTCTAAGAGATGTTTGACACAAATTCTATGAGGGCAGAAACCAAATGTATATAAAGATTAAAGAGAGGAGAAGATGAAAAGAGGAGCAGGTAAAATTTGTGATTTGACTTGGTTAATAGAATTGGCAATATTTTTGACAGGTTGAAACCATGTGCCTGCTGTTTTTAGGCAGGGAGTACATCGATTTTTCATGATCTGGTCATGGCAAGGACGACCGTTGGTGTATGCTGTTGCCAGAGACATTGTATCTTTAATTCTGACATTACTATTCTTAGTCAAAATGTTCAGCAAAATATTAAATTATCTGATTGTTTCCTTATATTTGGTTAAATTTAGCTTCGATTTTGTACATGATCTAATTGTGGAGAATATTTTTACAAGTTATTAGCATATATGATGTTGAAGGTTACAGACAAACTCTGAAGATTCTTAATTTGTAGTTTATGCAGTTATGAGTGGAAGAGTATTCATGAGAAGAAGCTCAGATTTTACTGATTTCATAATCTCTGCATACATTGTTATCTAACTATGGTTTGGTGTTTTTTTTTTTTTTTTAATCACGGGAGTGTCTGGGTCAGTTTATATGCACCTCAACTAATTCTCTAAAATCCTAAAATTGTCGGTTGGATAAGAGTCCTAACGGTCACTCCAATTAGTGTCTGGGGGACTCGAACACAGAGACTCATGAAACATTCTTTTACTATGTAACTATGTCTTTTACATTTTGAAATCCACTGAGTTTGTGACATTTTATTTTTGAAGTCCAGAATGATATTAGAAACTCGGGGTGATTGTGTTCAATGTCTCTAGTTGAAATCTGATTACATGGTTTTGTTTGAATTTCAAATAGATGCCACACATATAAAATTGAAAATCGACGTGGAAAGTCAGTCCTTGCATATCACAAATAAAATATCAACATTAATATCATGTTTTATGCACATTTTGATTGTATTTTTACACTGTATTCATATAATACAAATTTATTTTGAGAAAAGTCCAATTTAATTCACTCAAAACTCAAATGCAAATGGTTAAAGTAACTAAGTTAGTTGTTTAAATGGGAACTGTTAAAGTAATTAATTTGGCTATGTAATTGATATTAATTCATAATTTTCAAGTAAGATGAAGAAATAAACAAATTGAGAGAAAATTGAAAATTTTTAATTAACCAAAGCCTAAAAATGACTTGCACACTAAGTTTTTTTTTTTTTTTTTTTTTTTAAATGACTGGGAGTGTTCGGATCAATTTAAGCGCACCTAAACTAATCTCTCAGGATCTTGGAACTATCGATTGGATAAGAGCTCCAGTAGACACTCCTATTAGCAATTGAGGAAAGACTCGAATTCAGGATTTCTTGAATAATACAAACAATAGACGTGTGTAACTTACTAAACTAGACACATTAAACAGTAGCGGTAATAGCCTTCCTGAATACAAGCAAGTACGAGATTTTGGAAGCTGAAAATATATAAAAATGCTTTTTATTCAAAGTTTTATAGCCTTCCTGAATATAAGCAAAATATATAATAAATAGCAGTATGGTTTATTAAGAATAAATCGTTAATTATAATTAGATTTTTGAAAACTTTTTTTTAACTAATGTAAGGCGAAGATTTTCAATTACTTATTTTTATTAAGATTTTTAATTAAACTATTTCTTAATTTTCATTTATATTAATTTTTTTAATCAATCATTTCATTTAATTGCAAATACTCTTGGTTGTCTAATTACTAAATCTTCAAATTTCACATTTCTTTTTATTTCATTTAAGGTGATTTTCGATGATCATCTCTGTGGCCACAAATCATCTGCTCTTGTTGATTTGGTAAAAGTTAAGGGTAAAGCTGGTGGAAATGTTATTAGCTCTCATTGTATTTGGTGCCAAATGGGTGTATAAGTCCTTGTGTTCTATGGATAGTCTAAAGCTGCAATGTAAAGCCTCCATCTTTGTTACCTTTGAATTGAGATGGCTATTGCCTCGTATGTGACTTGGGCAAATTTACGGATTTTTTCATAATCTGAGGTGGATTGAATGACTTCTTATTTTGGGTTTTAAGCTGATTTTCCGCAAAACCAAATTCATGTTGATTAATCCAATTGTTGTTCTAGTAAAGACTGAAAGCTACCTAATTGGATTACGATGAGAAAATCTATTTATTGTCTTCGAAAACAGTACAATCTCTGAAAACATAAATAGAATTCCAAAGTTAACAACAGTAAACAACATCTCATAAGTAGAATTCTACCTAGTTTTGAAATCAAGAATGAGCTTCCGTTTAGATAAATGTAACGATTAGTCGATTATTAATATAGAGACTACGTATCACAACTCAAGAAGGCTATTGACGATGGAGCAAATGTGAAAGGCTACTTCGCATGGTCATTGCTGGATAATTTTGAATGGTTATTGGGATATACTGCTAGATTTGGTATAGTATATGTTGACTTCGATACCCTGTAGAGGACCCCAAAGATGTCTGCCTACTGGTTTAAGCAGCTTCCTAAACGAGAAGAATAAGGGGTGCTGTGATTATTAGGAAGGGCAAATAAATCTTCTTATGTTTAGATGTTATCTCACCATTAGGTTCTAGGCTTTAAAAGTTTTTCTTTAGGTTCATGGTTCTTGTAAATAAGCATTGAAAGTTTTCGGAGAAAAATAAAAAGAAAAACAGAAGCGAATTTTTTCTTATGTAGGAATTTTCATATACAGCTTAGTTATATGTGTGATAGCATATTAGTACATTACATGTCAGCTCATCAATTTAAGTGAAACCCGCATCCTAACTCACTCAAACTAACACAGTTGGTCATTTTTCTACACAGCTTCGTTTGAAGTAATGATAAGTTGTAAAAGCTGGATAAGCTATTTACATACCATACTAAGTGTTCGCTGTTAGGGTCATGAAAGTGACTCTATTTTGGTGATAAAAAGACCCTATGTGTGATTAAATTGAAATATATTGAGACAATTAAAGAGTTTATGAATTTATTCAAGAAAATCACTTCCTAATATTTTTCTTATGAATTTAACATGTTTGGAATGATTTTGGAAAGGGTATGAGTTGATATTAGGTTGTGGTTTATGAATTAGGGGTGATTTTGTCTCATTTATGCGGTTTAGGGGGTAAACTGTCATATTTATAAGGGCTGATTTTGTCACTTTTCAATCATGTAGGGACCAAAGTGATATTTTTCACTTTGTGTATAAAAAGAACGCGAAGGGTCGTGAACGCGGATGCTGTTCATCCATCTTTTCCAGCGATGCTTCATCTTCCCCGTCCATCGATCATCATCATCTCGTCAACACCACCACGATCACGCACACAGCCGCGACGTTTAGCATTCCGCCGCCATGACGTTTCGCATTCCAGCAAGGATTTTGCCATTTTCTGGCGACGGTTGGGCTCCCTAGTGGTTGATCTTCCTTCCCCATGGCCAGATCTATCACTTCCAGGCTTCAGCTGCTGCCAAAACCGCTGGAATCTGCCATCTCGCCGTCGCGCCTCTTCATCTTCCAGCCGCGATCTTGCTCATTTTCGGCAACCTTTCATCTCCCCATGACTTGATCTGAACTCCCCATCACCAGAACTTTCCATCAGTACCTTCAGATCCCATTTCTGCCACCATTTTTCGAAAGATCCGCCAGAAAATTAACGTTTCCACTTCCTGTTCGTTGGTCGTTTTCGCCCCTTCTTCGCATCATATCGCTTTCGGTTACTTCCTCTCTGCCATGATCAACTTTGTTTCCACTGTTTCAGCCTCCATTGACACCACCATGTGCGGCTGAGTTCCCGATTGTCTGTTACAACGTAGGCGAGATCAAGATTGACTCCACGACTCTGCTCATTAACTCTCGACTAGTTGGATGAGCCCGATTATAGGAAATTTGGTAGTATTGTGTTTCAAATTATATTTGTTTTCGTTTCATGTTTGATTTCGATACTTTAATATGGTTTGAGCATAATTTGTGATGAATATTGTTGTCCATTGTGATTTAATGTTTTCATAGAACTCGCTGAATGATAAACGTTGGTTTGAAATAATTAAATGATGAATATTACTTTTCATTACTTCGCATCGATTGTAATTGAGTTGTGTTCGGATTTAATTTAATTTCTACTGTTATTGTGTTTATTGTGAAGTTGGTTGATTGGAAGATATGTGTTGACAAATTGTATTTGTTAATCGCATACCAACTAGTGGTATTGCCTTGTAGCATTTATCGATGTTCAATGATAGTCTTTAACCAATCGAACTTGAGTGATCGGGTGAGACATGATAGATTATACCTAGAGTGCTGAAAAGCCATTTCGATGATTTACCTTGCCTTGTAGGTTTAGGGGATCATAGAGGGTGGAGGAGAATTGTGTGAGTTGGTCTCGTGTCGAACCAAAACCGTAACGGCAACGTTTTTATTATAAAGTCTTTATTAGTTTTAATTTCATGTTTTTATTATTTGCATAAATCAAATTGCTAATTTCACTTTCACTACTTAAAGTACATTAGGTTGTTAGTCTTGCTCCCTGTGGATTTGACCCTGCTTACCGCTAACTACGATATTTAGGTTTAATTTTGTGACTGTGACGACCGGTTCGACAAAATTTTGGCGCCGTTGTCGGGGAGCAACATGCTTTTGACTTTGTGTGTTTGGGTAGTCATTTGTTTTTATTCTAGGTTTATTTTAGTTGTTGTTTTTGTTTTTGTTATTTTCTTTGTAGTGATTATTTGTTTGGGTGAATTGTTTAGTTTTTGTGTTCCATTTAGTTTGTCTCTTTGCGTTTTTTGGTTAATTATTTTCTTTTTAGGTTGTTTGCATAATTTCATTTTTACTTCGTTTATTTCATTTTCATTTTATTTTCATTGGAATAGTTTCATTTGTATTTGTTTTTGTTTTGCAGGAAAATTGCAATTGGGAAAACGTTGCAGCGTGTCGTGAGCATTGAAGATCTAGCACGACCCGATTGTGAAATTCTCTTAACCTTAGTTTTTTTTAGTCATTTTGATTAATTAGTAATAGCTTTTGCCTTATTTTGCATAATTTGTTTTTATTCTTAGGATTTAATTTTTGTTCTTAGTATTAAATTCTTTTAGGTTGCATTGATAACTTTAGTTTTGATTAAGCATATTTGTTGTGTGAAATTTTGTTGGGTATAGTTTTGTTAGATTTTAGATTTGTTTTAGTTTTGTTTCGTGTGCTTATTAAAATTTGTTTCTTAGGATTTGCATTTAGTTAATTTTCTTTGAGATTGTTGTTGCGTTGCTTGTTGAGCCTTTTGTATGTTTGATTGATGAATGCAAACTAGAAGGTCTTGTAACGAAGAGTTATTACATTTGAATCTTGAAATTGAATGCACTTGTAAGAGGAATAAAAAACAAGCACGTAGGATGGCTGACCAGGCTGAACTCGCACATGTGCCCCTTAGCCAACATTTTGCACCCACCACCTACACTTCAGCCTCATGTATCCGTATCCCCAATGTCCAGACACAACACTATAAGATCAAAACTAGTGTCATCCAATTGTTGCCAATTTATTATGGGAATTTAAATGAGGAGCCATGCAAACACTTAGATAAATTTTTAGAGGTTTGCTCCACAGCTAGACTTCAACATGTGAATGAAGATGTCGTGCGCTTAATTTTATTCCCATTTTCAAGTAAGGATCGAGTCAAACAGTGGCTCAATTCTTTGGCAGTAAGGTCCATTATCTCTTGGACCCAAATGCAACAAGGATTCCTAAAAAAGTATTATCCCATTGGTAAAACTAACAGCATAAGATGAGCCATTACTAGTTTCGCTCAACTTGATGGCGAGGAATTCTATGAGAGTTGGGAACGTTTGAAGGAAATGCTTAGGAAGTGTCCCCATCACGCAGTCCCTAGGTGGCAATTAGTTCGTAGTTTTTATGACGGACTGACCGAGAGGCATAGAAATATGGTAGACGCCTCTTGTGGAGGAACATCTATGCAGAAGGACAAGAATGAGTTATGGCAACTCTTCGAGACCTTAAGTGAAAATTCAATGCACCACATTTCTGCCTCTAGAATGTCCATCTCAGGGCAGCCATCCAAGAAAGGTGGCATCTATGAGGTGTCACAGTTAGATGACATTATTTCCAAGTTAGAGGTGTTGGCCCACCGATTTGACCAGTTTGTATCTATACAAGGGCAACCCTTTACACAATCATCTCAGAAGGCGAACCAGGATGTTTTTGCCATGCACTCCACTCTTGACCATCCAATTGAGGAAACTGCCCCTAACCCTTTTGAGGAGCAAGTGCAGGTTGCACAAGGCTACCAGAGATGGAACGATCCGTACTCGAACACGTCTGGGTGGCGTAACCACCCTAATTTTTCATGGAAGCCACATCCACCCCAGAATGCCCTTAATAATATGTCATACAGGAACAATCTTTCTAATCAACAAGGCAATTATAGGGAGCAGCCTTCAATCCAACCACCCATCCAACCTAGGATCCCACCTCCCGTTCAGCAGCCCACTCTAATGCCTAGTTCACTAGAATCAATGATGACTTAAATGCTCCAAACCATGCAGGAACAAAAAGCCGACATGAATGCTAGGTTCCAAGATTTAGAGCAGAATACCTAACTTCTACATTCTCATTCCCAATCCATTAGTAAGCTAGAGACCTAGATTGGTCAAATAGCCGAAGCAGTCAATAGAAGGGAACAAGGCCAATTGCCTAGTCAAGTCATAGGTAACCCTAGTGGTTCTTCTCAGAAGAGAGGGTTTTCCGAACAAGCTAAGGTTGTGATGACTCTTCGGATCGGCCGAGAGCTAATTAGGCCTGAGAGGGAAGTAAAAGTTTAGGGTAGAGAAAAGGAAAGTAAAAGTCTAGTGTAGAGAAGAGGAAAGTCTAGGTAGGGACTAAGCCAAAGAGAGTGAGAGTGAGCCACTTGTAGAGTCAAGTGTTCAGAGACCGGGTAACGAGAAAGTTGGGGAGAATGAACCATCCCCTGCATCGTACGTACCAAGAGCACCCTTTCCTTAGTGCTTAGAGCCCCTAAATGTTCCCATTACTAGGAAAAATGCTAGGATGGAGGAAATGATTGAGTTGTTTAAGCAGATACAGATTAACATTCCACTCTTAGATGCCATCAAACAAGTACCTGCTTATGCCAAATTCCTCAAAGACTTGTGCACACAAAAGAGGCGAATGAAATCTCACACATCCAAGACTTTACATTTATCGGAAAATGTAATTGCGGTTGTCTCAAACCACCCCCCCTCTGCAACAACTACTTTCTTTCTACCAGATTCGTAATATCGATTAATAAGAAGATAGCATATTTATCAAAACAAGTTGGGCCCAAAAATTTCCTTTACTTAGTAATCACATTCGTTACAAAACAAAACATCATATGTACAAGGACTTTCGAAACAAAACGAAACAAGGGACAGTGCAGCCAAATCTCCACGCTTGCCGACGTCCATCCGACCAAGTCCTCACCTATTTCCTGTACAACAAAGAAAACAACGGAGTGAGCACAAAGATGCTCAGTAAGTAAAACAGGCTCTTACGCTATCGTCCCCGTGCATTACTCATCAATTCTCTTTGTATTTTTATCAAATTTCTAATTCAAATTCTAGTTTTTCTTTCTTTTCTTTTCTTTCTATTCTTTCCTTTTTCTCAATCTCATACCGCCTTTCTCATGGCGGAAACCGCTCTCTCTCTCTCATAGCGGTTTACGTGTATTCCGCTCTCTCATGGCGGAGTCCGTCTTTCTCATAACGGATCACATGCATTCCGCTCTCTCATGGCAGAGATCGCTCCTTATCATAGCGATTTACACGCATTCCGCTCTCTCATGGCGGAGACCGTTCTTTCTCATAACGGTTTACATGAGGGTAACTCTATACTCACGAGTTCCCCATCGCACAACCTAGTTTCTTTTCTTTTCTATAGCACTTAAGAATCATTTTATCTTCTAGTGCTAGTTCTTTCTTTCTCTTTACTCTAAGAGAATTTGTTCTTTTCTTTATCTCTATTCATAGAGTGTTTCTTTCTCATTTCTCATATTTCTTTCTTATGTAATTACTCAATTAAACATATGCATATGGATGACTCATGCCTAAAATCTTCCTTATATGCATTCATGACATGCAAATATGCTACGTTGCATAAGGTAAGGTTCTCTAATTCTACTTATGCTTCTTTTAGGCATTTCATCAAACAATATGTGTGCATACATAAACTCTATTCTAACTTTAATCATATTTCTTTCTTAACCATCCAAAATTGGAGTTCAACTCCTTTAAATCATCACACATCCTGCAAAGAGAAACACACTTCAAAAATTCCTCTCAATTACTTCTAATTCTACCCATACTTCTACTACAATTTCACAACACAATCCACCCTCCTCATGGTGGAAAATCCTTCATATAACAACATTGAACCCATTCATGAATTCATCAACTCATTTCAACATAAACAATTCAAGCATTAATCATAGATCTAAAACTCTCTACACATCATTCAATCAAGTAAATCACAACTTAGATGAATTTACTTACCTTGGACACAAGTAGAACCCACTTAAACTCTCCACTCTTGATGGCTTAACACTTTCTCTTAACCTTCAATACAAAACTTAATAAGGATC